GAGCAGGTGATTCCTCCTGCCTTAATCAGTGAGCATCATATACTTATCAGGAAAGTATATGGTCAAGGTGTTTTTTGAGTTCTGCCATACTATCTTTTCATTTGGAGTTGAAATAAGAGGACAAGTTGCCCTTTGGGCATTGTGATTAATTAAGCTTTTATTGTGAATGGTAGCAGATTGGAGGCCTGAATCCAATCAACAAAAAGCCTAGCCAGAAAAAGCATTCATTGGAAAGCTTTCTAGGCAGTTGTTCACAGAAACAAGTTCAAACCAGAAGATGATGCTTGAAAATCATGAGTTTAGTCACAGCTGAAAGATACAAGAATCACTAAGTAAATTGCACAAAGAAAATCCAGTTGATGGTCCAGGAGAATGGATGTTAGGAGTGAAGTCTCTGAAGGGTTTTGTTTTGCTCCTTGGAAGCTGTCTTTGTCGTTGTCCCTTCAGCTGTAGGTTCCTTCCTTCCCCTTGAGAACCTGGAGCAGAGAGTCTACCAACTTAAAAAAAAAATATATTAGGAACAGTTACGAACACACATGAGTAATGGGGAAGTCAAGGGGTACCCATCCCCAGCAGACCATCAACATCACTTGGTACAAAGACAAATTCTTGGGTCAACTCCCAAATCTTCTGACTTGGACATTCTGGTGAGGAGCCCTGTGCTCTGCCTTCACAAGTCTTCTAGGGGATTCTAAATACAGTATTAGAGAAGCACTCATACTTCTGAGAGTAACTCCTGCCACCACCTTAGAACCGTTCACTTGGGGGTACTCATGTTATGCCTACTAAGCTTGTCTTCTGATCTAAATTCTTGGGTGTGTTTTAGCCACTGTTAGAAGTTAAGGGTTTTACTTATTCGACTAGAACTGGGGAAGTAGAGGTGAGGGAACTATGGAACGCTATTTTTTTCCTGGCTGCAATGCACTAGTCAAAGCTCAGTTTTGAACCAACAAACCGAACCAGGAAAGGAGAGCAGTGTGGGCAACTCGGAAAGAGAAGTTCATCTGGGTCTCCACCCAAATGCTAAATTTATTGCCATTTGCTTGCTGTGGCTTCTGCTCAGTTTCACAGAGAATACAGGAGAAAATGGCTACAGTTTGTTAAAAACTTTATTCCCCTTCAGCAAGTTTTACCCAGTGAGATGAGAAGCTAGGTCTTATTATTTTGAACCCAGACAAGAGTTTATTACTCTTCCCAGGTTTCTCTGGCAATTTAGTTCTCCGGCTTCCAGACTGGTCACTTGTTTCTAATAAGGGAAGCACAGCTATTCTTAGGCAAATGGTACCTCCTCTGCAGCTTTGGCTGTGTGCAGCAGATGCTAATGAGCCCTGGGCTGGGGATGGATTCCCACATAAGCCAATTAGCTTTGCCTTCCCCTCTGGGGACCAAGACTGCAACTACCTGACTGCCAGCCTTTAGAGTCCACCATCTCTCCTGCCAAATGACCCAGTGACCATAAAAGGAGCCAGTTGAGGATGAGGAGGACCCCCCACCCCATCCCATCCCCCTCACAAAGGTTGAATTCAAAGTTTCAGCTCAACTCAAGGAAGAGAAAGGAGTAGAAAGGAAAAGGGGAGAAGAAAGTGAAGTACTCGGAGGATCAGGGTCCAGCAGACAGAGATGCTGGGGAGGTGGGGGAGTCACACTCTTCCTGCACAGAAGTTGTTGGGATCATTGGCGGATTATCAGTTATTCTTGATTTATGTTATTTTCTATGTGGAACTCCCTTGAGAATCACTCTAGTTTCATTTCTGTTACTATGATAAAATTTCCTGAGTGTAATACCTAATCTTGGTTGTCAACTTGACACACCTAGAGAGAGGAACCCTCAGTTGAGGAACTGCCTTCATTAGAATGACCTGTGGGCATTTGGGGTAGGGCATTTTCTTGTTTGCTTGTCTATGTAGGAGGAACAACTCACTATTGGCAATGCAACCAACCCTGGCCAAGTGAGCCTGGGCTGGGTAGGAAGAGTTGCTGAACATAAGCCTGGAAAGAACCCAGTAAAGCTGTGTGCTTCCTTCACGGTCTCTTCAATTCCTGCCTACAGGGTCCTTGGCTTTCCCATTGATGGACCTGTAAGCCAAATAAGCCCTTTCCTTCCCTTTTCCAAGTTGCCTTTGGCCGTGGTATTTATCACCACAACAAAAACCAAACTAGGATACTGAAAATAAAAGCAACTTGTGGAGAATAGGTCTATTTTAGCTCACAATTCCAGGTTACAGTCCATCATTGCAGAGAAGTCAAGGCAGGCACTCAGTCAGTCACATCACAGCCACAGTCAAGAGCAGAGAGAAATAAATGTTTGCTTGCTTATGTTCAGCTTATGTTCAGGAACCCCTTCCTAGGGAACAGTGACACGCACAGTGGGCTGGGTCTTCCTAGGAAATGGTGACACCCATGGCGGCTGTGTCTTCCCACATCTATTAACCCAATAAGTACAATCATTCACAGACACATCTACAGGCCAACCCAATGCAGATGATCCCTCACCAAGACTTTCCCCAAGGAATTCTAGATTGTGTCAAATTGACAAAGCTAACCATCACAGGGACATTTCAAACATTAAGAAGAAAACACTTCCTATGCCTTAGACTGATTTTATTGGACAATAAGAGGGACCCCTTTAAAATGAGGACAAAAGCTGGACATGGTAGTGCATGCCTGTCATCTCAGTTGCACTGGAGGCTGATGGCAGGAAGACCACCAGTGCAGGGCTGCTTGGACTGCACAGCAAGACTCTACCTCAAAAAAAAAAAAAAAAAAATAGTGAGGGCAAACTTACATATCCATTTCCTTCCCAATCAGCCTCTGGAAGCTCATCCCCAACCCCTATGTTCATGTCCATAAATAAAAGGAAAAGTCCAAGGCTGCAAAAAGTAATGGCCAGGGTCTAAAGAAATGCTTCATTAATTATTAGAACATTCTACAATCAAGTCCAAGATTATGGAGTAGGCCCTGGATCTGACCTGAACCTCACCTCATGCTGTAGAGACCATGGGATAGAATTTCCATTATTTTCGGGATAGCATTAAAAGATTGGGGAAAGAAAAATGGACAAAAGAAAGATGAACGTTAACTCGAACATGTCCGGCCATTCGTGCTAGCAAAGCTCTGGGGCCTGTCTGCTCTGATCCAGTAATCTGCAGTCAGTGAACATTCCCACACACAGCTCTGAATTAAGTAAATATCTTTGCCATCAAAACATAGGAAATTCTCAGTTTCTAACTACAGCTCTGGGTGAATTGGCAATGGGACTCGGTGTTTTATGGCTGCCGTGAGAGAGGAGAGCATGTGTGGAGAGTTTTTAATTTTAAGCAGAGCCCTTCAGCTTCTGAAAGCTCCTGCAGCTAATTCTGCTGGTTCTCAGCTAGATTATTAAACTTCTCTCTGACACTGGGAGATACATGGATTTCTAATAGACCAGTTCTCTTGGCACTCTTTCTTTTTTGAATAAGATGATTATAAAATGGTTTCAATTTTCACAACAACATATTTTCATTCAGGCAAAATGTCCAAAACAAGAGACACAATTAACTAGTTTGTTCTCAGTGAAGACTAAACTCACTGTTAAATTTGTTTTTCACAGTTCTGGGAAATGTATACAAGAAAATAGGACGGATGTGTGCAAAGATAGCTAATTATTCAACTTGAGGTGGAATTAAACAGGATGGGCTTTTAGACTTGAGGAAAGAAAAACAGTGCATAAAAAGATAGATCAGAAAGCATAGCCTGGCTAAATAAAAAAATAACCTTTGTAGTGTCAAGAGAAGCAGCAGCCACTTCCTATGACTGCCCCCTTAATCCATCCTATAAAATTGCCACATGGAGACCTCTATTCTTTTATAATTCCTCAAATCTTTGAATATTCTGCTGAATATGGGACACTGGGGGCTCTTGAGAAAGGAATTGAATTTTTAAGGAGTTCGATGACTGGCAGAGCCAAGTTCAGGGGACAAGGTAACTCCAACTGGACACTGCTGTTTGCTTAGGAAAATGAAACACAGTTGGAGCTGGAAAGATGGCTCAGCACCGAAGAAGTCTTGGGTTTGAGTCCCGGCACCCACAGGAAGGCTTACAACCATCTGTAACTCCAGTGCAAGGGGTTCCAACAAGCTCTTCTGACCTGCAAGGCCAGGCACACACTTGGTGTATGGGCATATAGGCAGACAAAACACCCGTACACCAGAAATATAAATATATTTTTAATTCCTAAAGAACATTAAGCACTGGAGAAGAATAACATGGTTATGTGTGACCATAGTGTTTTATGAATGAGCTACAAGAGCATATACATTTTGAAGCTTGTAGAAATTTATCTTTGAGGGCTTTAGAGAGTTTTGTATTCTTCAAATAAATGAGAACTGTGCAGTTATTAAACATACACTCCAGGAAAACATTTGACTAAGAAAAAGTGTGGCCAAGTAGGGACTGAGAAGCCAGTTACAAGTTCCCAGCACCTTTGGGAGCAAATGGGCCTTTGACAAAAGGGGAGCTGACTGCCTACCACTTGTAACCCAACTACAAAGAGAGCAACTCAGATCTTTGTGGAACTGATCTCTTTACTGGTTGATTTGATCTAGATTTTTTTTCTTCTGATTAAAAGCTACTAAAGGCTTTCTCTCTAGGTGTTTCATGCAACAAAAGAGATTTTAATTTGCATTTACCATCAAAACTACCCCCAATGGATGGGTGAGAAGTGAAACAGAAAGCACCCTCTGAAAAGGCTAGCCTCTGGAAAAAGTCATCAAAGAGCTAACCACGTGACACAGTGAAGCAGGGAGGTCTCTGAGCTCTGTGACTGACAAGAATATTAACCATTTCCAGGAACAGCAAAGCAAGGCCACCTTCCCCTTCCTGCATCCCATGTGTTAAGATGAGTGGGTACCATTTCCTGGAAGAGGACCTACAGGGCAATACTGTCCCAGGCTATTGCTCTGGAATCATCAATGAAAAGTGATATGATTCAGTTTCCTTGCCCTCAAAATTCAGGGGCTGGGGCTATACTTAGTAATAGAGCATACTCCTAGCATGTACAGACACTGGATTCATTTCTAGCGTCAAAAAACATAGATAAATAGAATTCCTGAGAGTGTGAATGCCAAATGAGGTAAATTACTTATCTTAGTAGTTAGGGTTTGGTCACATGAGTGAAGACCCCAAGAAGGCATCTGCTGGAGCTGAGTTATAGACAGTTGTAAGCTGTCAAATGGGGGCACTGAGAACTGAACTTGTGTCCTTTGCAAGAGCAGTATATACTCTTAATCACTGAGCCATCTCTCTACTCTTTAAGGAAAAAAATATTGACTTTGCTCATGGTTTCAAATGCTTCCTCTGTCCATCATGGGAGGGCATGGCAGAGCAGCAGTAGGCCAGGAAGTGGAGAAAGTATGCTTGTACCCTGTTATTATTTACTTTTACCTTCTAATGTATAATTGTTCAAAGTTGGCAGCATTGTCAGCTGCCTTGCTTCCCATAAAATCCAGCCTCACTTATTTGCTATCTTTGTACCTGAACATTATCACTTAGTGTTATTATATTCCAATAAATCAGTTGGCTTCAGACACACTCCCTGAGTTTTGGATATTAGAATGGAACTCAAATTATTCAATCTTGGAATAAATAGAAAAAAATACAACTTTGTACATAAGTAAGAACTCTCTCCTCTGAAAAGAAATCATCTGCAAATAGGACCTTTCTTTCTCTAGTGCACATCAGAAATGAATGTATCTATAAACCCACAAGAATGTATTAAAATACTGTCTGTGGGCTCACTACCAAAATACCATTGTAAGAAGTAGGGGTGGTGGCATACACCTGTAATCCTAAACACTCAGAGGCTATGGGAGGGTAATCTCCAGTGAGAGGCCAGCCTGAGCTACAAATAAGCAAAAATTCTCATGAAAACCATAGTCACTGTTTCAAATGAGCATAATTACTAAGGAAACTCCTGAACTGGACTTTGAAACTTAGCTTTTTCTTCTAAGAGAAAAACTATTCTATCAAAAGAAAAGATAGCATGAAAATTGAGTAATACTTTGCTTAGCACTTGGGTGCTGGTTTATTGTAGCAACATAAAGACTTCCTTCCATAGTTAGTCTACATTTCAACTTGACTGGATCTAGAATCACCTAGGGGCATACCTCTGGGCATGTCTGTAAGGCTATTTTCCAAAAAGCTTAACAGGTGGGAAAACCCACACTGAATGTGGGTGGCATCACCCCAAAGGCTGGGGTCCCAGATAGACTGAAGGCGGAAGAGAAA